ATTGAATTTCTGCTTTGGTGTGGTCTAATCTGTTTAAGTCTGTTTAGTCTGAATTGGTAGTTGTCTGGTTTTTGTGTATTTTATAAATGTCAAAATTTGGTTAGTAAGTCTCATCTGGTATGGACTGTTTAAGTATGGTCTAGTCTATTTTGGTCGGATTTGATCTGAGACTAAAAATAACCCAAGTAAAACATCCTAAGGATGGAAAAATCAGTAGGAAAAACTTATTTGTACTCATTTTTATACATTTTTTATATTGTTTATGTTGTCTATCTACAAATGCAATTTGGAGGAGATGTTTTTCACACATATTAGTGTACGAAAAGTGTACGAAAATTATGTACACCAAGAAAGCCTGTTAGTATACTTTAAAATTATTGAAATGACATAATATGATGCAATACTTATGTTGTGTTTGGATTATCTAGATGTCTTTATTTTCTCAAATTTGGAAAATTTATATTGGATGTATTTATATTTGATAAAGTTTTTAAAATATATAGAGAAAACTCTCAAATAAGTCCATGTATTATAACCAAAACCTCAATTAGGTCCATGTATTAAGAAATCATTCAATTAAACCCCTAAACTATTAAAAAATAACTCAATTTCTCTTTTTAGTAGGTCACACGCCGGTTAGCCGGTTATTTGGTGACTTAGATTTCCACGTGGCTTTAATTTTTTTTAGAATCCTTTGTTGACCGGCTTTAATTTGGTACATCATCTCCTTCACCTCCACGGCCCTGCCGCCGTCGATTTTATCAAATGCGTAAATATATTCATGAGTAGGATACCGCAAATAACGAGAGAGCGTGAAACCCTCGCCGCCATGTGAGATTGAGAGGTGTGCTTGTACATCTAATAATTAAGTAAAGGAATTAAGAAAAATGTGGGATTTCATTTACAATATGAAATTTTAAATGACACGAAATGAAGGGAATTAACAGCAGTATGAGAGGATTGAAGTAGAAGAAACGAAATCAGGAATTAGATGAAAATTTCAGAGACTCTTTAAAGGTAGAGATGTTCATATGGGTGGAATCAATTTTTTTTATTACCGGCGAGAAATGGGAAGGAGTCAAACGATTTCTTGATAAAGCTCTGCTTCTTTTTCCACCATTTTAATGGTCTCCATAGGCATGTCTTGATTATGTGGTCGTCGGTCTTGCTCTTCCAGATTGAGAAATGTGAATAGTTGTAATAAAGAAAGAAGGAAGTTCTTCTGAGTGGGAAGATGAACAGTGGAGATAAGGGAGATGGATGCTCTTCATCTGGCCATTTGAATGGGGACTGGGGAAGACGAAACGTGGAGATAAGGATGATACATGATTTTCTGGGTGGAGAAGATGAACATGGGATAGATGGACTTAATTGAAGTTTTGGTTATAGTACATGGACTTATTTGATAGTTTTCTCAAATATATATTGCGAAAATGACAAAAATAATCAATTTCAATATTCAACTAAAACGTAGTGCATGGCACATGCGGCAAGCCCCTATGCCTGTATCTCTTTCCATTTCTAATTAATAATTGTTGTCATCTTAGAATCAGTATTTGATACAAAAATATGACAATTAAGATATGTATGTTTGAAAATATCTATTACCAAACAAGTATCAAGGCATGGGGGCCGGAGGCATATACAGTAGAATCATAATCATGGAATACAACCCTAACTGAAATATAAGCATTTGCCTCATACATTATGGACTGGTTAGAAGAAGTGTATTTTACATTTGATATGAGTGGAGATTGCATTGTTTGTAGTATAGATGTTTTTATAAAGATTGGAAATATCGTACCTTTGAACGAAACCTTACACACGATTACACATGATATAAGAATCACACGTGGAAATGGTGGACAATTAACTCGAGTAGCGGGGTGCAGTGGCGAAACTTATTGTAAAAGCTTAATTTGAGCACTCAAAACTCAGCGGTGTCTCCAAATATGACTTTGATAGACTTTAAAAATCAAATTTTTTTAAATCCAAGTAGTGTCTATAAAATTTATGGTGTAATGTTTTTGCACGTAGAAATCCACCAAATCTACTAAAATCCATCCAAATAAGTAATAATAGAAATAGAAATCCACATAATGTTTGAAAATCCCTTTGTTTTCATAGATTTCACAAAAATCCAAATCAAGGACACCTGAATTCTGACGAAATTCCAAACTCCATTAAAATCCTCCAGAATTCGGGCACACCCCTCTTATTTACAAAACAAATTGGGATTTGATGGCACAGATAAACTTGATTGCCTAAACATACTAACTTGAGTAACTTCTTCAGATTCTAGCTTTTTGGACTGGAAATGTAATTTTAGTGTTCAAGTTGTATCAGCATAATAATAACAACACGTGATTATCCCATATTTTCTCGTCCACCAATTACTTTCAAAATATATTTTTGTGAGAATTTTCAGAATATTTTTGTTTCTTCCTCATTTTAAATACTTCTTTCGTGCTAAAATCTTTGTCTAGATTTATGCACGTTAGGTTGTTTCCCACAATTGGTTTACTACATAAAAGAAAAGGTGATGTTTCATGAGAATATATTTTTAGGCTCGAGAGGGAGCTTTGAATTTTATCATTAATTTATCCCTTTAATATATTATCCTGGGAATGGATTTATCTATTTATTTAAAAAGTAAAATAAAGGAATGGAGGAAGTACTCCATAGCATTCTATAGCATTACCATGTTACCAACTTAATTACCCTAGCTAGATACAATTGGCCATTATTCTCTGTTTTCTTTTCCCGGTTTAGTTGGTGCCGATCTATCCAAAATCAGCATAGTCTTTCTCTTGAAAATCTATTTCATAAATTAAAAGAAATGTAAATAATATTTTCAATTGAGCTGAAACTTTCTAATTATGTCTGATTTAGATGTTTAAGCTTCATTTCATTTGTTCTGAGATTTAAAATAGCCAAATTGAAAACATTCTACTTAGTAGTTTTGCGGAATGGAGGAGCAATTATTTTTAATAATCGATTGCGGAATAAAATAAAAAAGAATGCATTCATTTAATTCTACTATATCTATCAATTACGGAGTACTATATAGTAAATAAGTAATTTTTAAAAAAAGAAATCAATCGTTACTAGATCCACACAAATGAACATATGATTGTACTAAACTCAATTCAACAATAAACAATATCTTTATAATAACACATTTAAAAGAAAATTATAAATGGTCGAATGATATGATACCTCATGGGCTACTACTCCTATCAGATTGACCTTTTAGGATGGAACTCCGGATCTTAACATGATATCAGAGCCTAATCAATCCATGGTGTGGGCCCCATTATGAAAAATTGATGACACAATTATAAAAAAAATGACAATGACGAACCGACGAAAAAATGAATGAAGACACGATCCAGACGAAGTGTCTGGTCGTGAGGAGGGGTGTTAAATTCCAACACCGGAAATTTGTGAAGGAATAAAATGTTATACTATCTATTAAGACATGGTTACTCCTCCTATGAGGTTGACCTTTTAGGATGTAACCCTGGATCTTAACAATAAGTGAGGATACCATAATTGGGTTTATGTGACAAGAAATGTTGCATTAACCATGCTTTTGATAGTAGATGTTCATCATCTCTTAGAGCAGGGATCAAGCTAAGGGTTTGAAGAACATATACAAACAAAAACTGATAAGAAAACAGATTGGAGCAAGACAAGTGTTCCACCAAAAGGCATAAGCTTGCATATTCATTTTGTCTAGACGCTAACTCGTGAAGTCCATTTCTGGTTTCTTCGAACTTCGAAGGTGTTTTTCAATCTAGGACTGAAAGAGCTTCATAAAAAATATTCCAAACTTTTCTGTATTGTTCCAATTTTATCGGATGTCTCTGAAGAGAAATAATATATACCAAACTTCTTTATTCCAAATCTTCAAATCTTTCTCTGAATCTTGAGTTAGAAATAAAGCTCATAAAGACATTTGGACAATGGATTTAAAAGCGGGTTTTTTTTCAGCGAACCTCAAATGCACCACAATGAATGAATGAATGAATTAAGACTAATTTGAATATTCCATTTGCATTCACGTTCTTTTATTTATTAAGATATATCTATTACAGCCTTTGTCTTATTTGGAACACTAGTTTTAATATGACTTCTCAGTGTCAATCTTGAACTATTATATTTCTAATACGAAGTACTAGTATATGTTTGTAAACTTTTTATAATACATGGTCACATGGATATTTCAAGAAGATATACCAAAAAACCACTTAATAGTATTTTCTTGCCATAATTTCATATGATTTGCATAATTAATGATTATAGTTAACAAGTTATAATTTCAAAAGACAAGATAATAAATACGTAAAAGGGAAATAGTGGGAAATAGTTTTAATTGGTTGGATAGTTCATTTTTATTCAACAAAAATAGTGAATCATAAATAATTTTGATGGATGAATTTGGCAAGCATAAACATCATTTACTCTTATTCATCACTTAAAAGGGGATTCATGCGTTTCTGTTGTACTATTATGATGATGATGTTATCAGTTAGGGTAGGGGTGGACTCGGGCCGGGCGGCCCGGCCCGGAACCGGCCCGGCCCGGTTACTGTTTGGCCCGGCCCGGGGCCCGGTGGGTCCACCGGTTCGGTTCGGCCCGGCCCGGCTGCTGGGCGGTTCGGGCTCGGGCCCAGTTTTTGGTGAACCGGCCCGGCCGGTTCGGGCCCGGCTCGGGCCGGTTTTTAATTTTTTTTTTTTTTTTTTTTTTTGAGTTTTTTTTAAGTTTTGGGTTGGATTAGGTATTTTGGGCCATTTGAGGTGGTTTGGGGTTGAGGGGGAGGGGTTGGGGGTTAAATAGAAGAGCCAAAAAAAAAAATTAAAACCGGTTAGGCCCGGCCCGGTTTGGCCCGGGACCGGAACCGCCCACCGGCGGTTCGGGCTTGGGCCCAACTTTCCTGGCCCGAGGCCCGGCCGGGCCCGAACCGGCCCGAGTCCACACCTATGTTAGTGGTTGGATTTTTTCTTAATTTGCTTCTGCTTATATGCTTAATTACTTGCATGCATGCACACATCCATACATACATGATACATTGATACACATATCTACATTTTTTGTTCTTCCAAGAACTAAAGAAACACAATGCACATTTGTACTATAAAAACCAGACGTTTTCATTTAGTGCCTGAAAAACTATAGTCTACAAATAAGCTCTGAGTCAGTGAAGCGTGTAGCACCAGAAATATGACATTCCCCAACTCTCATCCCTCACATCTCCTTTGATCTCTCTCCCAATGGTCTCCTCCTTACATCATGTGTAGCAGACTCTGCACTATTTCAGACATAGGCGGCCTGAACTCTGGCTCTGGCTGTACCATTCAAACACCAGAGGATATTTTATGAAGCAATCATGCAAAAGATTCATCCAATTCATGCACACACAGAACTCATGCAAATGTATTATACTTATGTGTTCTGAGTTCTGACCTGAATACACAAAGAAATTATGTCAGCGAACCGAGATAAAGACTTGGATGGATATTTGCCAGCTAGAGAAGGATCAACCATTCTCGATAATGCATCTATGTCATGAAGCTTTGTCACTGCCCATCTGACCAGAAATTGTTCTCCTTGAGGTCGTGACCTGAGATTTGAGTTTTATAAAGTTCATGTAAGTTGTTTTGTTAATACTTGGTATTAATTAATAGGCCAGTATTTTTGCTCAAGTAGTCAAGTTTTTCATCATGTTAAAAATACTACTTGACCTGGTATTTCTTTTAAAAGTAAGAACCCCAACTGTTAAAAGAATGCTCACCCGTCGTAGGATTTCCTCCCTGTGAGTAGTTCTAGTAGAACAACACCAAAGCTGTAAATATCACTCTGACAAGTATAGCTTCCCAGTTCAAGTTCTGGTGCTCCATAGCCACAACCTTGCAGCTGATACGTCATAGTCCATGATTTAATTTCAGCGAGCAACAAATATTTTTTCTTCAAGTTCTACTGTTGTGATAAAATGTGTGTTTTGTGTGTATTTTGTTACCTACTGGTTTCTCATTAATACTTAAATGTGTGCATGGAACAAGGGAAATTCTAACGAAAGAAAATAGAGATGGCAATACAAGGGAAACTCCGAAAGAAAGAATGTGGGGGGGGGATAAAACATTGGCTCAAGCTCAATAAATTAAATTTATATAATACTCTTTCATACTTATTTTAATTAACTTTCTTTATTACATGAAAACTAAGAAGAGTTTTAAAACCATTAGTCATATTTTATTTGCTTTTGCATTTCCATGGAGAAATTTAACACAAGAAAATAATTTATGTAGCTTTTTTCTCATTTCCATTGGATTCATTTACCCAAAAATGGTGGACAAAAGAATAAAATTGATTCTCCAGCATCTATACCAAAATCAAAGTTAATAACCCTCCTCCCACAAAAATAACAAGAAAATTGCAGGAACTATTACTAATCATAATATCATAATGTATTACCACAGCCATGGATTTGGATGGCACAAGAGCAGCCAAACCACAGTCTGAAATGTGCACAGTAAGCTTCAAGTCTAAAAGGACATTAACAGATTGAAAGTTCCGGTGCAAAGTTGGATGGTGGCAGACCTCATGCATATACCTTTGTTGTAAAATAAAAATGGTCAGTGTACACAATAGAAGCTTAAATCATCATTTCATCATTTTCATTTACCCCAGTGCCGCAAAGGCTCCCACCTGCGGTGGGGTAAGGGGGGGGGGGGGGTCAGATGTACGCAGTCTTACCCCTGTACTAAAGCACAGAGAGACTGTTTCCGGATGACCCATAGTGAAAATCGCGTCCAAAATTGCATAGACTGACTGCTGCTTCATAACAAAGAAGCGCAAACAGTTTAGTGATCCATCATATTCTCAAGCCAAAAAACAGTAGAAGCTTAAATGTGGTGCTTTAATTTTTTTTAATATAATGGACACTATATGGAAATGAATAGATTCTATACTAGTACTGTATAAAACTTACTCTAGTGCTCTGGCAGCTTCAAGAGCAATTCGTACTCGAACATTCCATGAAAGTTGTCTATGCATCTCCTCATCCACGTGTAATGCTTCATAAAGGCTTCCATTATCGCAATACTCATATACTAGTAGCCGTTGACCGTGTTCTATAGAATAGCCCATAAATTGAACGATATTATCATGTCTAAGTCCTGATATTGTACAGATCAGCTTAAGAAGTTCTTCATCATTTTGACACTTTGTCACATCATTATCCAATTTTTTGACTGCCAACAGCTGCAAACCAGAATTTCATTGAAAAATGGACCAAGAGACACAGTAAAAATATTGACAACAACAGGAAGAGTCTGTTTGGTAAGGCTGGCAATAATGATGAAGTCCCTGAAATTGCTGATATAGTAAAAAAATGATGAGAAACAGAAAAAATGCTGTTAAACAAACTAAAATGATCATTTTTAGCAAACTTGACTACTTGAGCAAAACAAAACTTCTGCCCTGCACTTTTTTCCTTATTAAAAAGTTGAAAACATGCAGTCAAAAAAGCAAGCTGATAAACCAAAAATAGTGACTGCCAAAAAATCACTAGTTCTGTCAATAAACTACATACTGATATACATATTATGAATAAATATATATTTACCTCTCCAGTAGGTAGGTGGCCTTTGTACACTGAACCAAGCATGCCTTTTCCAATAAGATTATACTGAGAAAAACTATTTGTATATTGTTGGAGATCTGCAACTTTGTAACAACTTTCAGAGCTCATGTTTGAGCTAGAAAGGTTTGTTGTGGATATAGGAGGAATCTTTGCATTTTGAATAATCCTTTCAGAAGGGAGTGTCAAGTAGGGAGATGGGGGTTGTGGTAGGATGTCCAACTGAGAATCATCATCCTTCTCAGACCATGAAGACTTAATCCTAGTATGTTTTGTCCATCCACTCTCATTCAATGCCAATGACATGTGACTATTATTCCCCTGATCCTTTGCACCTGGTGTTTCATTTCTTTTAACTGCTCTTGGCATTCACAGTCTAGATGTGTTATTTATCAGAAAAGAAAGAGGGGCCTTATTAAACCAGATTAAGAGCCTGTTTGGACCTCGGAAAATACTAGGGAAAACAAAAGGAAGAAAAACAAAGAGGCAAAAGACGATTGTGGAGGGAAATAAAAGATAGGCTACAAATGAATGAATTCATTTAGATATTCGTTGATAGTCATTTTATTTATTTTTCTGTCATAAAAAAACTAAGAAAGCTCAGTGCATGTGAAAAGTTTTGAAAACCTTATCATATTTAGTTCTGTTTTGCATTTTCCAAAGTAAAACCAAACATAAGAGAATTACTTTGTTTACTTTATTTCCCCTTTCCCAAGTATTTTCGTCAACCCAAACATACCCAAAATGGTATCGCAAACACTCACCTTTCTGTGCTTGGCTATCTGGTTTCTGCATATATTGGTCAATTATGGGGGTTTTCCAGCTGGGTAAAGCATGAAATGCTTTGTGGCCCTTATTTCGTGATCTCTTGCAAAAGTTTGACAAAGCTAAAAGGCATACACATAGAAGCACTACAAGTATAACCAACCCTCCAATTACAATTTTGCTGATGCTTTTGTGTTCACCATCATTCTTTTCCCCAATGGAAAGCTGTGGCGGGAATAAGACTTCACCATATGCGACATTTGGAGATATTTGAGGAGCTCCAATAGGTGATGGTGATGGTGAGGATGGTAATGTAGGTGCTGGAGAAGGTTGTAAGGTGGGTGGTGAAGGGATGACAGTAGTGTTGAAGGGATTTCCATCTTTACTACAAAATGAAGCAGGTGTTGATTGCATCATGATTGTGAATAAAAACAAGTTGAAAGGTGAAAAACAGCATGTTATTGATTTTCACCTGAAGTTTTGTATGCTCTTCAACTCCTCAGGTATTGGCCCAAAGAACAGATTATTCTCGATGTTCCTGTGAAAGAATGAAAAAACAAGAACAGATTATTCTTGATGTTCCTGTAGAAAAAGAAAAACAAACATCATTGTTAAGTCATTCCATGCCGGCATATAAGTTTTAATATGTTATTGAGAAAATTCTCGAAATTGGAGTAAACATAACGCATTTTCTCAAATAGAACCACCATTATTTTTTCTCAAAAATGACTCATTCACTCCTAAAAGTTGAACTTCAATTGTTTTTATTTTGTATTAGAACTAAATAACTCGAGAATAAAGCATAATTAGTTTTATTTGTGAACTTTGTTTTTCCCCTACTTTGAGCAATTTGTTTATATTAGAGTTTCTAAGCGCCAACAAGAAACTAGACCTGACATCTAAATGATATTCTTTTATTAGAACTAAATAAGTCGAGAATAAAGCATAATTAGTTTTATTCGTGAACTTTGTTTTTTCTCCTACTTTGAGCAATTTCTTTATATTAGAGTTTACTAAGCTCCAACAAGAAACAAGACCTGACATCTAAATGATATTTTATAATAAGCTAGGCTTAATTCAATATATTGTGTCTCCTTTTAGGATGAGTTACACAGAACTTAACAGACTATGTTTCCTTTCAATTTGACATTTTATGATAGTACATCAAGTAATAATATAGGTAATCAAAGCCAATAAAGTTCAAGCACTGACTAAAACTCAAAAGAGCACACTGATTTAAATATTAAATTATCTCATAGCCTAAATATTAAGAACACTTCTGCTCTCAAGTTGACCTTAGAATGAAGCTACAGATCTTAATAATCATCAGCATGGAGATGTTTTCCATGCATCAATAGATGATAAAAAACAAATTAATATATTTTGATATAAATTGAAACACTTAGAAAAAAATTGAGCAAGGGGGATAAAAGAGTACAAATTGATTAATGGAAGGCCTTGTAGAACATCAAGAAAACCAGACAACTGATTGTTATGCAAATCCCTGAAAAAGGTAAACACAAAAAATCAGAAGTGTAATACGGAGTATAATAATCCCACATTTCGAACTCAAGAACTTCCAGGTAAGGTAAGGCAAGGCCAGCTTACCTTTAGAAGAGTACTTTTAGAAAGTAGAAACAACTAATGAGAATGAAAACTTACAAGGTGGTAAGAGAAGGCAAATTCCCCATTGAAGGAGGAAGTTGACCACTTAAGTTGTTACCAGACAAATTCCTGCAACATAACTAAAGCTCAAAGCTTTGCGCAACTAAAGCTCAAAGCTTTGCGCAACTAAAGGAAAAGGTGAGGGTGAAAATAAAGATTCATACAAGTCAGTCATTAGTCCCAATGTGGATATTGTGTCCGGAATGCTCCCTATTAAATGATTACCTGCAAGTGAACTATATACAAAATATTAGTGAAATTAACAATATGAATAGTAGCAGCAGCAGCAGTAGTAACAATAACAATACTAACATACTATGTTCAGACTTCACAGTGATGGAATGAGGATCTAGGGTTTCTTATTAAACAAAATAGCAGATCAGATATATTACATACAATGTTTGGATAGTAGTAGGCAAGCTGGGTGGAATGCTGCCTCCAATATGGTTGTTGCTCAGATCCCTGATTCAGTTAGAAAGAAAAAACTTTAAGGGCCCGTATGGATGAAGCGTTTTGGGGGGGGGGGGGGGGGGGGGGGTTGGAGAGGAAGCCTTTGGATGAGCTAGTTAGCCTATATTACAAATATTTATGATCAATAAAAAGCATGTTAAAATTTGAAGGTTTGGTCCCTCCAGTAAAGTTTTCAAGCTCCTAATGTGGCCCCCTGAAACTATATTTTTGGCTCTGCCACCACATAAATTAGCATTTGAGCTTATCTTTCATTTACTAATCCCTCAAGATCATACTTTCCAAAAGCCTTGCCCATTCCTATCATGCCTGGAAACTTGGGAAGGAGTGCTTCGCTTCCGAAACTCGTCAAAACACTTATTAAAGATAATGTTTCCAGTTTCACATTCCCCATGTTTCCCGTGTTCCCATGCAACATAATAAGATTCAAATTTGGTGTTAATATTTCAAAAACAATGTGGAACTATCATAAATAAAAACACTCTCCTGCCACATTTTACTGCCCCCCTCCTGGAGCCAAACATAAGAACAACAATAATGAGCCATTGATCCGTACAGTTCTATGAGTGAAGTGAAGTTTCCCAAATTCTGGCTCAATTCACCAGTCAAATTTGCACCGCTGAGAATTCTGTCCCATAAAAAACAACACCAGAACAAAATCAATGGTTAAACTCTGCAAATTGCAACCCATTGATGGAAATTTGAGCATTCAATTGTTCTTACATCCCAGTTATATTGTAGAACACACATTCTACGCCTTGCCATTTGTTTGGTTCCAGGCATGGGTCTACCTCGGTTATACTCCAACCGGAAAGAGGTGGATGACCCAAAGCAATATACAAATCAGAAATCGCTTCAACTGGAAAAGAAAACATGAAAGGAACAATCTTTGGAATCAAAGTGTGTATAGTAGAAATACTCCTGATAGTGCAGCAACAAAGATTGTAAATTACGTCTGCAACAAGCAAATAAAACAAAAAAGAAAACTTTTTTACTAATGAAAAAAAGTCTTACCATCTCTGGGGTCAGTATATGTAGTAATCCCCAAGCATCCGCAAGTTGACGCTGCAAAAATTGCCAAAACGAAGAAAGCTCGCATTCTCATACAAATTTCTCTATTCATCCTGCCCATCATCGGCAATGGCATCAGAAAAGCGTCCTCAAGATAACTTATTGGGCACTCTAAGTTAAAATACTAAATAAAGGAAAAGAAAATTAGGTAATAAACCACAGTATAAATTTACTCAGTGAAGAACGAGTGGAGAAGACAGGTTTTGTTCAGAATGAGCACTAGAGGATGACAGTGAAGTCGTTTCAGTCAAACTAAGAAGGGCCCATTATTAAGATTTCAAAAAAGAGTTATTTGAGACTAACGGGCAAATTCCAATTTTTTACCGGAATAGGGGAGGGGTTGGACACTTGGACATAAGAAAAACAAAATTGAAATTCTCTTGCTACATTTTGAACTTGAGACCTCAACAGCATCCAAGTTTTAGTCCCAAAAGATATTGGGATCGGCTAACATGAATTGATACATGATATCACCACCAAAGAAAAAGAAAGAAAAATAGAAAATAAAGATAAAAAAGCTATTATGAAAAAGATAATATAAAAAAATATAAACATACTTAAATATGATAAAATAAAAAGGAAAAAATAATACTCCGTATTTATATATAAGGATAAAAAACAAGAAAAAATGAGGGGAAAAGATAATACGAGATCACTTCTCCACACGAATAACCGCCCTCCACTTTGCTATGTCCAAAGACATACCTTCATCTAACCCAAGAAGCATATCACTTCGGGCTCCCCTAACTCACGGCTGTTTGGGCCTTCCTCTCCCTCTCTTCCCTGCCTCTTCTCCACTCATTTCAACCCGTCTGACAGATGCATCACTTGGGTTTCTACGCACATTACCAAACCACCGTAGGTGCGACTCCCGCATCTTGTCTACAATAGGTGCTACTCCCACCCTTTGTCTGATTGTGAGACCTTCTATATGATAAAATAAAATCAGTTCATATATCGTGGGATCATCCCACGGTGTGCATCATGCTTCATTTCCCAAATGACGTAGTTTTAGTCATTTAAAAAAAATTGTGTGTACAGTACTTCTTTTTATTTTTCTCGTATTCCAGTAGCGGAATGATGTAACTCATGTGTAAAGAAATACGAAGTATAACTCACGTTATTAATAAATGTAACTCAAGTCTAGTCGAAGTGTAAATTGTCCAATACATAATATAAGAAATAAAATATTGATTTCAATGAAAAAAGAAGTATAATTGTCCAATTATTTTACATAAATAGTGTATATGTTTTGTTTTTAATATCAGGGCTATAAAAATGATTTTTTTTATGAAAATGATTTTTCTTTTAATAACAGGGGCTTATTATGTTGTGTAACTCGAATTATATTGTTGTGTAACTCGCAGTATATAAAATGTAAATCACGTGTAACTATGATGTAATTTGCTGAGGAAAGTTGACATGTAATTCACGTTAATAGATATGTAACTTTAAGCAAATTCTTATGTAACTGCAGGTATTTTCGAATGTAATTTGAGTCAAATCAATATATAAATTGTCTAAACTGTATAATATATATATATCTATATATAGGGTGAGAAATGAGAATGAATCTTAGCCATTGGATTCGACTATTTTGCAGTAAAAACACTTTATATTGCGCTAAAATATTCAACCTAGTTTGGTGGCATTTTCTGAAAAATCCGTATTACAGTCATCTAGTGCAACATGAAGCTTTTTTGGTGCAACGCAGTCAAATTTTAGTGCAATATGAAATAGTTTTAGTGCAACACTGCAAAAAATTAAATCTTATTGCAAAATCAAGCTATTTTCAGTGCAAAATCGAAAATCCAACGGTTGAGATTCATTCTCATTTCTCACATTAGATGCATTTATCACTTGGACCAAAACATATATATATATATATATATATATAGAGAGAGAGAGAGAGAGAGTAGTCTTCATGTCAGGCCGGCCTGACGGGATGCTCCGTCCGGCCGAGGGCATTTCGGGCACTTCCCGGTGGAATTTTTTGATGAACGTTTTTTAGCACATTCTTAATGAAGTCTGGTTTATCCATACCAAATTTCAGCTGAAAATTCAATCGGGAAGGCATTCAAATAATTTATTGAAGTTAACTGGGCAATTCATACATATAAACTGCCCAGTTAACTTCAAGAAATTATTTGAGTGCATTCCCGATTGAAGTTTTAGCTGAAATTTGGTATGGATAAACTAGACTTCATGAAGAACAATCTCAAAAACTTTCATCAAAAAATTCCACCGGGAAGTGCCCGAAATGCCCTCGGCCGGACGGTGGTTCCCGTCAGACCGGTTGGACACGAAAAGTTGTCTATATATATATATATATATATATATATATATAGGGGAGAGCAAATAAAAAGTTGTCTTCCCGTGCAAAGTGTAAAATTTGCACTTTTTCATGTTTCGCTTGCACTTTTGCTTGTTTTCGTTACATTTTTTCGCGTTAGCGAAAAAATCGGTTTATTTACATAACTGCCGCCGTGGTTTTGGCCGAATTCGCCCAAAATCACAAAGACAAGAAAGTGCTACGGAAATAGGAAAAAGTGAAAGCGAAACATGGAAAAGTGCAATTTTCGCACTTTCCACGGGAAGACCACTTTTTATTTGAACTCTCCTCTATATAAATGAAATCAAAGCAAAAAAATTGCTTTCAAGACTTCTGCATAAATCATCTCTTTGATGCTAGAGTTATGAGTTGTGTGTGAGGTTATTCATCTCTAGCATCATCATCATCATCATCATCTAATCCATCAACAAATCATGTCAGCAGTTCCATAGATGCTAATCGATGCTCCAGTCCCATGTTGCTCTTTGATTTGTGAATTGATGCTTTTCTGATCCCATGCTGAAGATCGATGGACTGATGCTCTGTTTTTATTTTGTTGTGGTCGATCGATTGATGAAGCGGCTGTTGTTTATAATTAATAAAGTGATGCCGTTTTGGGATTGGCAGACCGTGCGCACGGTGAGCCGATCCCACGGTATAATTAGTTGAGTTAGACCGCTTCCTATAACGGACAAATTCCAGTGACCATAATAATAATTTAAATATACGAAGTATAATTTTATGTACAATTTTTTACATGACAGCGATCAGGACATTATAAGAGTTTTTTTTACCTAAATATTATCAATACACTTTCGGTTTACAAAAAAGTGAGTAACGGACCATAACTACCTATCACATAAGGAAATCTAGGAGTAAATGTAGGGAAATCACTTTGTACTTTCAATTAGTAGTCATATTTTTGTTGGAGAGATTTAAAATAGTAATATTTGTGTAATTTTTTCACATTTTATAATCATTGTAACTTTAGTCATATTTTTATAATTAAGTTTTATTTCAACTTTTTTTTTGAAAAAACATCAAATATTAATATTAATAATAATATAATTCGGATCTCTTTAATATTTTTCTCATTTGTTTTAACATTATTTTTAGGTTTAAATATGTTTTTAGTCCCTGCAAATATAGTACATTTTGTTTTACATCCCTGCAAAATTATTTTTTGTTTTTCGTCCCTGCAATTTAAGGTTTGTTTTCTTTTTAGTCCATCATTGATAATAACAATCTCCGCTTGACCTCAAATAATCCCGATTAATAGATCTCCTCTCATTATTTGACATGTTATTAAAAAAGTATTTAATTTTATTTTTTAGAAGGTTTTTAATATATATTTTTAAAATGTGAATAATTAATTTTACACTCTTTTAACTCTCAAATTAGCCTAAAAAAAATTATAAAAGGAAGAATTTAAATATTTCTAGTTGATTTATGTAACTAACAATATTTTTTTTGTAAGGATGGACTAAAAACAAAATAATGCATATTGCAAGGATGAAAAATAAGAAAAATATTTTGCATGGACTTAAAACAAATTGTATCATATTTGCATGGACTAAAAACGTATTTAAGCCTTATTTTTATAATGAAAATGTAACTTTGAGTTTCTTTTAAAACTTTTTATTAAAAGCGCAGTTATTTTCAAGAATTCATTTGAATGCCTTCCCGATTGATTTTTTAGCTGAAATTTGGTATGAGTAAACTAGACTTAATGAATTAGATGTTCAAAAAAATTCATCAAACAATTTCAGCGGGAACCGCCCCAAATGGCGACGGCCAGACAGAACCTCTTATATATAAGAACTTATCTGACACCTTTTATGCAACTTCGAGGACCAATCTGACCTTTTACTCCTTTTTATACGACCTAAAGAGATGGAAGGGTAACATTATTTGACATGAGTAATAGAATGGACAAATATAAATACATGGCTTGGCTTCATAAATTAATTTATGTTACATAATTTTATGAAATCTATTATATTATGAACAGTTACTATTGGCTCTTCTATACATTTGATTATGAATAAAGATTATTCACAAAACTGTCTACCAGACCCGCCTGGGTCTCTGAGGAGGATATACCCCCGATGATACAAGGTCAGATTTCTCGTAAATATGAGGAGACAATTTTATTTAAATTATTTTGCTTTTTGTCATCTTTTATTTCGGATTGAATGTTGTTTTGGATGCGTTTTTGTTTCCTACTAGCAGAACTCTAGAATTTAGGTTGGATGATGAAACATCTAGTTCGTCCGTTGTTGGCTCAGTTAAGCTCGTTATAGGATTAGCGAATCATATTTCTTTCTTGTAACTTGCAAGAATTTTCTGATTATTCAATATAGGCCACCTTCTTCCGAGAAAAGATCTAACTTAAAGATCAAATAGTGCTCACAATAATGCGATAGAAAGAGAGAACCCTAGAAGAGAAGGTGTCGGCGCTATAGTCCCACTCTTCTTTCCATGTTCGATGCATCTAAAAGAGTATGGACGATGGATCCAAGCAGGTAACGGATCCCACATCTTATTCCAGATGACATCAGGTAGCGGAGATTCTTGGTAGGGATTGTCCAATTTTTATTGCCTCTTTTTGATTAAAATTCCATTCATAGTAAAGCAATTTTTATACGAGGTGCCAAAAGAGGTAAATCTCGAGTTTGAATCTCAACAATTGCGATAAGAGGTTACTATGTAAAAATGAATTGGAATGGAATTTTCATTATGAAGATAGACGGGGTTTATTTACTATGAGAGACAAGCGTCATTAAAAATAACCCATTTTTTATTGCGTTGAGAGACAAGTGTCATTTCCATTATGATGATAGACGGGGTTTATTTGCTATTGTTTGTGTTAATGGTAAATTATCATTGACCAAGCTTTCTGACTTATCAAGGAGGAAGATTACTAGAAGATTTTGGATGGCTTCTACTTGGAGAAAATTTACCATTTCAATTAGGCCTGGGATCGGTTCGGTTCTTGTTAAAATTCGATGGAACCGTATAAAAATTGTAGGGTTTAAATTCGGTTCGGTTCTAGTTAAAAAAATGGTTGTTAAATTCGGTTCGGTTCTACTTAAATTCGGTTCGGTTCTTACCTTTTTTCGGTTCCTTATAAAATTTTACTATCCTCCTGAAATGAACACATTTTACCTTCAGTTAAATAAAAAAATTCAAACTTTAAATCATTAAATTATGACCATTACATTATACGTGCATGATATCTCAATGTTCAAATAAAAAAAAATATATATGCAAGTGCAACATTAAATTTCAACATAACAAAAATCTCGGTTTAAAATAGGCATCAACAGTCGAGCAAAAAGGTTTGATATCTCCAAAGTACACATTTAATAGCTGGTAGTTCAACCTCAAAATAATATTCTTCTACTAGTAATGCACAATAGGTAAAATGTACGTAGTAATAAACAACGTAATCAATAGAATATTAATTCATTTTTCAGATGAACTCCAATACATTTACATTTACAAACAAAAAATAAATATAAAAGTGGACTAAAGTATTCAAATAATTACTTGGATTGGTCTGGTCCACAATATATAAGGTATATTATGCAAGAAAATATTCTTGACAAATAATTACTCGGATTGGCCCGGAACGCCGTCTGGCCATCTCCATTTGAGGTTCTTCCGTGTAGAATTTTTTGATAAAATTTTGTGAGTATGTTCTACATGAAATATAGATGATATATACCAAATTTCAGCTTAACATTCAATCGGGAAGTGAATTAAATAAAATATTGAAAAACATTGCGTTTTTATATATGTTGGCGTACTGTTTTTCAATAATTTATTTAACTGACTTCCCGATTACATTTTAAGCTCAAATTTGGTGGACATAATCTTTATTTCATGAAAAACATTCTCACCAAATTTCATCAAAAAATTCCACTCAGAAGCACCTCAAATGAAGATTACTCATACAATGTATAAGAAGTTCGGTTCCTGGCTAGGAACCGGAACCGAACTGGAACCGAACCGGAACCGAACCGATGAAATACTATAGGAACCGAACCGAAAAAAGCTCAAGTCCAAAACTCTAGGAACCGAACCGAACCGGAAATTTCGGTTCGGTTCGGATCGGTTTTCCGGTTTTACGGTTCCAAGTCCCACCCCTAATTTCAATATCTTCTTTTAATCTATAGGTGTCTTTTTAGAGTAAGTTGTTGACAAAGGAAAATCTACTTCATTTCAAGCTTGAAAATTCATATCATGACTTTTTCGCTACACACACAAAATATTAAAAGACGTATTGTTCCTCTATCTCGTTACTAAATTTTCAATTTTGCTGTTCGTGCACAAATTGTACACAGCTTGTACATAATGTATATACCTTTTTTGTTTTTAGCATTTCATTTTTATTTTTAACCCATATGTCTCTCTCCCTGACTCCCTTGTCTCTCTCTTTCTCTTCTCTACGCCCTTCTCCCTCGTTTCCTTCCTTATCCTTTCTTTTTTCTTCATTTTCAAATTCTTTAGTTTCTAAATCACTTTCAATTCTTCTCTCCATTTAAATTTCATACATGACTGGATTTTCTATATCATCAAACATTCTTCTCCAACCATGACCTAATATCTATTCTCAATTTTTTCATATGTGTTTTGCTTTCTTTTTATATTTTCCTAATTTTATGTATATGATGTATGTTATTATAACTTTGAACAATTGATTAATTTGTTTTATTGTAAGAGGTATGAAGTGTTAATTAATGAAATTTTAGGATAATTACTCTAGTTCATTTTATGCTAATAAACACGTTTGTTGAAAAGACTCAATGAACTTTTTGTTCAAATTCATGATTTTGTTCTCATTTTTGTTAATGTACATTAGTGTTTAGTGAGTTTTAGACTTTATTTTTCTGGTTTTACAACATTACTGTGATATATTAATTTTTATTTTATTTTATTTGACTATTATGAATTTGCTAGATTTTTTTCCTTCCTTTTAGGGCTACACGTATTTCTCATTTTCAGATGTTGTGTATGTTAATATAGTGTAAAATGTTTAACTATTTACCCAGGGGCGGATCCTGGAATTTGAGATGCTCTGGGCTGAATAGAAATTATACTACTTTTAAATATTAGAGAGGTGGGCTAAACGTGAAAAATGAAAAAATTTACACTAAAATAATTTAAAAAATTCTAAGTTGCCCTGGGCTTCAGCCTACCATAGCCCGTGCATAGATCCTCCCCTGTATTTACCTTCCTTGTGTTGCATTAGTGATGTTAATTATTGAAATTTCAGTCAAAATATTCTATCTCATGTTTTTGCATAGGGATATTTTGACTTTGTACCCCGTTATTTTTGGATGATATTGGACTTTGCACCCCATTTTCAAAACTTTTAGACTTTGCACCCTATTTCCCCTAAAATGTCTTTGCCTTTGCACCCCATTTAAGAATGTTTCTTCACAAAATGTTGTAGATATGGTGCAAAGTCTAAAAGTTTTGAAAATGGGGTGCAAAGTCCAATATCACCCAAAAAGTGGAGTGCAAACTCAAAATTCCCCTTTGCATATTACATTTGAAATGTTTCACTGAATTTTTAAGAGGTATGCGAACATGGTGGAAGGACAAAGAAGGATCGTTTGCTTGTGAGTATGAAGAAGGTGAAGACTTTGACGTTTTCAAATGGGGAAAGGACAAAAAAATGTCATTCCCGATTTTATCGAATGCGATGAAGCAAGTGCTATCAATGTCGGCAGTGGCGGAGCCACTTTAGGTCCAAAGTGTTCTCATGAACGCTTAAAAGTTTGAAAAACATGCAAGTATTTATGTATAAATTTTGTGTAAAATATTTTTTGTTCTTTGAAATTTTAATTTTATGAAAAATGAACACTCAAACCCTAAATTATAAATCCGCCACTGAATGTCGGTGTCAACAATAGCCGTAGAACAAGAATTTAGCCAAGCCAACAACATCCTAATAGATTTTAAAACACGATTGAGCGCACAATCTCTTGCGACGCTCATTTGCTTCCACGATTGGTTGGAGACCAGGCGTAGAATTCAAGAAGTTTGCATCGCCTCCGATAGCCACTTCATGAAGGAAACAACAATCGATGCTGGAGGAGATTCCAACTGATTTTTAGCAAATGTATTTCATATTTAAAATTATTTTCAATTCTCAATTGTACTTCATATTTCGAATAACTATACATTTAATTTTTAATGTCTAGCACTTGTTAAAATAATTGGTAAAAAAAATTAACTAAAGGACCGGCGCAACCCAACCCAGGACCGGTCCGAGGCCAGCCCGGGTAACCCGGATCGGAACCAGTAATGGTACAAACCGGACCAAAATTGTGTAGTACCAAAGCCTGCCGATACCAGGCCCAGCCTGAGTCCATGCTTTGCTGCAGTGCTATTAATTTATTTGTGAGTGTACCTGGATTTATAATTTATGAATTATGAATTAGGATTGATGAAATAGTGCTATTGTTAAATGTTACAGTATTTACCCGTGAGCTTCATTTTACTTGGAGTACTTATTTAGTGAATTTAGTGATCAAATATACGAAGTAAATCATAGCTATAGTCATTTAAATTAGTGAAGCTTCATATATATGATTAGGGGTGGACTGGGCCCGATCTGATTCCGGTTCGGGGCTAGGCCTGACCGGGCCTGGATGGTTTTGGGTAAGGCCCGGGAGTCTGCCGGTTCCGGGCCGGGCCGGGCCAGTTCCTGTTCAATTTTTGTTTTTGTGTTTTCTTATTTATTTCAACTCCCATCCCCCAACCCTCAAAAGCACCCACCCACCTAAGCCCAGCCCAAACCCAAAAAAACAAAAACAAAAAAGCCCAGCCCGAACGGCCAGACCGGTTCGCCTTTTTCAGGACTCGAAACCGGTTACCCCTCAGGCTGGGCCTAGGCCCGGAACCGGTTTACCGGGCAGGACACAAACAATATTGGTCCAGGCCCGGTCCAGTTGGCCCGAAACCGGACCACCCCTATATATGATGGTTAAGCATATTAAAATTCTTGATAGGAGGTTGAAATTTGAAAGTCAAGAAAAACGTCTAATGAAGGAAATGAAAGGATTAAATAATCACGGGTGTTCCGCGGCTTCCACCAGTGTAGTATACATATCATTTGTTTGAAGACTATGGGGGGGAGGCGAAGAACACTAATAGAGCCCATTTGGTGACCACTTTTTCGGCTTATCAGGCTTATCAGCCAGCTTTTTCACCAAACACATTATTTTTTATTATGCGCGCTGAATTGTGTAATAAACAGAAAAAGTAAGGTTGGAGTTACTTTTCTGACTGTATTGACTAAAGTTACTGTAGAAGATCATTTTAGCTATTTTTTCATATAATTTTTTATTTTATTTATTAATACAGCCACTTCAGAATCAGCAGAATCAGCCAATACAGTCACTTCAGCCAGAACTTCATAAATTTCAGTAGAATCAGCCAATACAGCCAATTTTAGTGTTACCAAACGGGCTCATAATGTTCTAGACATGAGCAGAGTTAAATACATGGTCATAATTGTTGAAAAGCAGTCATGGATGGAGACAAGGAGTAGAGGAGATGAAATTATCAAGGAAAACATCTAGAGAGCTGCTTGGGGTACCCCAATTTGTACCCCAAAGTGTACACCGTCTGTGTACACAGACATTTGGATAGAAAGTTCTGCCCTCTTTCAAACGAATTGCCTGTGTACACAGGCAATTCAGGGGGGTGGGTACAAATTGGGGTACAATTTGGGGTACCTATAGAATTTTTGAAACATCTAACATAAAAATTCCTAAAAACCAATAATACATCTCTCCAAAACAGACTACAAATTTCCGACAGTATCAATCAAATTCGAAAAATTTCATTCTAAACGATGGAGGAATGGGCAGGCAAGATCAGTCAATGCCTCACATTCTCCCGAATAAACGCAGCTATCTGAGTGATTTCACCAGTCAAAGCAGAGCCTTCTTCAACTACTACCTTGTTCACGCATTGGGAGAATGTGAACGGTTCTCCAGGTGTTCCAAGTGTAAACTCATTGGAAATATCTGCATCTGATACAGCAGTTCTTGAATGACGAAGCTTCTCTCTGAATCATTTTCAATACAAACAAAAGTTAAAATATGTAAAATACACAACACACTCTAGTTACAATAAGACACTGTTATCTCACATTTCCCTTTCCAGTTGCTTTGTTATGAACGCTTTTGTATGTGCAGTAACTTTATCCACCTTGTTGCAGAATACTAGTACTGGAATCTTCTTCTGAACCACATCTTTCTTGGTCAGAATGTCGTAAAGGTACCTTCATAAGGAAAAAAGGGAGACATACGAACAAGTTATGCATAATAGTCCAATTTCAAAGTGCAAAGCAAAATCTAGGTAGATAGAGCTTGATTGGGACCCCTAAAATTTTAGAATCGTTTGAAGATTTTTTAGCCAGTTTAAAAATTTAATCATGTTTGGAAACATATGAACAATGTTTATAAAAAACAGCTATTATGAGAGATACAAGAAATCTAGCTCATGATTATTTTCAATCTGCGATTCTCAAGATTTTGCCTTGTAATAACTACTTTTGGTTGTATCCAAATAAAACTAATTATTTTGAAAGCTGCTTTTCAGCGCAATAACTTTAACCAAGCCAAAAAAGATTGAAACAATAACCAATTAAAATATAACCAGTTATTGAAATAATCAAACTTTTCCAGCTATCCAAGACACTCAAAGGATTGTAAGTACTCTGAGGCAGCAAGGCAGTTGGCTAAAAAATCTATAGCATCCACAACAAAGACAACCCCGGCTGCCCGAGGTAAAAACTCATCCAATTTTGACCGAAGACGATGGTGACCAGGCACATCAATAACATCAACCTCGAGCTTTATTTTGTCATCCTGCAGAAGAATAATACAAGTGTAGAGAAATTAAATCAAAATTTCAAATATATTGAATGAAGATTAAAGATCGGGGGACAAATTTAAGTAATTACATGTACAATAACCCAAAATTAGCTTCAAATTTGCATATGGCATGCTTATTGTGTAAATGAAAATTGTGTGATTGTGCTTTTCAAGAATATTGGCCACACAATTTTCTCTTAAAAGTGAAATGGAAAAATAGTTTTGAGGCGGGCAAAAATAAAATGGGAAACTGATCTGGGGACACAGGGAGTGTACGATAATGAGGTTAGAAAAATAAAAGCTACAAAATAGATCAATACTAATGGGAATGATACACTCTCATGTGTGTGTCTATGTATAGGAATATTTGGTTCTAATTTGTGGTCTTTTATAACAGTCCCACCATTTATTTTCTTGACAATAGGCCAACCTTTTCTAACTCCTTCAAATAAGGGCCATTTTAAGAGTGAACCTGCTTTTAAAGTGAACCCACTTCACCAAATATTATCATTCTAAATTTCTAATGAAAACTTTGATATGTGGACTGATATACAAAAGGAGCAAACCAATGCTGGGCTATTCTCAAGACAGTGAAGGATGGGACTATTATAATTTATAAGATGATAGAGAAAAGGTTGGAAAACACACAATTACTATATTAACTGTTACCTTGGTTATCTCGGAACGTAGATTAATGGTGTCTCTATTAGGTTCCAATGATGTGACAGTACCCTCTTGTGGTGGCACGCCATGTCGAAGCTATAGTATACGAAACAGAGTTTATTTACAGTGTGAGGTTGCATCCAAAGAATTTCTACACCATAAAACATTTTCTTAACAAAAGCTATATGCATAAGCCACTTACCTGGTAAAATATATAAGTTTTTCCACTTCCACAAAGTCCAGTTAAAACAATGGTATTAAATGATCTGCGCTTGAGGGCTGCAATAGGGCAATATATCAAAAGAGCAGCATTCTTTAGCATGTAAAACATTAACTCTAAGATATTTATATGTGCAAACAGAATGTGTTACAGCTAAAATGGAGGCAATGATGATTTATGCAAAATTTAAATAGAAGAGAGAAGAGAAAAAATAAATACTGAACAAGATAACGATTTATATGCAGGTTCGTTAAAGAGAGAAATTCTGTGATTCTGAATTATTTAGGTACAAAAGAATAATGATCAACCATATAATACTTTCCTTAATTGGAAGAATAAAGATTATTAAGGAACCGGCTGAAATTGGAAGTAGGATGATTAATTAACCGGTGGAGCCAGGGGCACCCGTGACCTGGCCCACCCCAAGTTGGTGAAATTCTTTAATGTTACATGTAAGCAAATCAGTATGAAAATTTATAAAAATTTATATAGATAAATTTTTGTCCGGCCCACCCCACTTTACTATTTTACTCCCTTGCCTACATATAGCCATGTTTTGCACAACGTCATTAATCTACAATCAATCTACAATAAAAGAGCATGACAATCTTCTCCTTGCTCCTATAAATATTTTTTCCATTACCTAGTTGGAAGCAGCTTACTGATCATCCATTCATCCTCTACACTTCTCACTGTTAAATTTTACAATTACAATATTCAACAAGTTATAAAAATCACAGCCTTTAGAGGCTAGTAAACACTAGCAGTCATTGAACCAATGCCGTAACCTAGGCAAGCATGCAGAACTAGAGTCAAATATTTGCGCTTAAATCATGCCTATGGTATGATTGGATGAGCAAATTCTAGGTAATACGATTTATTCAGAAGATGATTAGACTTGAGTTAAGAAGAGGAATTTACTGATGAAACGAAACCAAAAAGTAGTCAACAACAGGATTACAAGGGCAGCAAATAGATGAAGCAGAGGAATCTGATGCAGCAACTGATCAGCTTCTCCCACCAACTTCAGAGCTTGAACCTTCAATTTCTCGACTACATCTTTATCCATAGTGTTCTAACATTGACAAAGGTATAAAATAATTGCAGCAATTTTATTTCAGTACTGAATAGAATATATAAAAAGCTTTTGCATTAATCCAATATATATAAAAGCTGGACCGCCTGGGGTAACTGTTCCCGCCTGACAATGATGAATTCAACACTGCCGGCGTCTTGGTTGGTCATTAAATTACAGCTTATTACAATTCCTTAATTTAGAAAATTATTCATCGTTTAGCTGAAATAAAAGATAAAATAACGAAGCTCAACAACACACTCTAAGCTTGATCTATTCACCGCTGATAAGATATAGAAAGATATGTACGAACAAACAAAACAAGATGCGATAAAATAAGAAATCGAATAACCTCGGGATACTAGACGAACGGCGTGGTGTAGACTGCGTCCGACCTAAGGGGGGAAGAGGAGCTGGAAACTGAGAGAACAATATAGCGTACGACCGCCGTCTGGCTGAGATGAGCGGCGGTAAAGACAGATGCCGGTCGGATGAATCGATACACGATGGGTTATTGGGCATGTGATTTTCTAATTGGACCGAATCAAACACTTTGGGCTAACTCTATAAAAAAACATTTTGGGCCAATGATTATAAATTATTTAGAACATGTTTGATAATACTGCAATTATTATATAAATGATTTTCTGCCTAAAGTAGTTTTTTTATATGAATCCTTAGTTAGATTGACTGATTCTACTAATTTTAAAAAACAAATTATTTTTAGAATCTATTTTATTAAAAAAATAAAGAAGTTATATGAAAAATTAGCTAAATTGATTTTCCAAGTAACTTCAGTCAATTTAGTCACAAAAGTAACTCCAACTTTACTTATTTTTATTATTACACACCTCAGCGAATGAAATAAAAATTTACGTGATCGGTGAAAAAATTGGCTGATAAAACTGATAAGCCAAAAAATAGGTCATCAAACGGGCCCTTAATTTGGAAGATTTTAAGTTGTAAACTAATTTTGTCAACTTTCATTTTTTTATTATTTCAATAATTTTGCCATTTTCTCATTTAATTAAAGAATTTATCATCCTGTTAATTCTCCCTGTTAAAGTCTCACACCAGAAAAGTTTGAATCAACAAAGTACTTCTAGGTTGATCTTTTAAGATGGATCCCCAGGACTGAACATGATATCAGAGGCAGATCGATCCATGATGTGGACCCCCTTATGAAAAATGACGATACGATTATATAAAAAATGGCAATGACGAATCGATAGAAAAATGAATAACGACATGATCCAAACGGATTGTCTGGTCGTGAAGAGGGGTATTAAAGTCTCACACCGGAAAAGTTTAAATCGGCAAAGTACTACTATCCTCTGTATCGCATTAGTTGCAACATTAGAATTTATACACTATTCATGTACTCTACTTTGACTACATTTTTTTATTGTGTGTAATTTGTAACGCCCCTCTCAGGGTTAAAGAAACGTTACACTAATCTAATACTTTTAAAAATAAACTGTTATATAACGGCCGTCTATTTAAGAAAATAACCCTGATAAAATCTCAAAAGTAACTCCCAAAAAAACTTAATAAAATATAGTTATCACCGGCAAATGTGATAACCACCTGGATCCAGGAAATTATTCAAACATCAAATCCTCAAATAAAATAAAATAAAATAATAGCAATCTCGTTATTATAACACTGCAACACTGAAACAAAATCATATCTAGCTAGAAGCCACCAAGGTTGTTCCCGTTAACTCATCTTGGCGCGCGTCCCACTCCCTCATCATCTTCTTAGGCCTTGGCCTTACCCTTAGTATCTGTACATGTGAAGAAGAAAATCTGCTAAGCTTTACACTTAGTAAGTCACTATGGCTCCACAAAAATATCTAGAAGTCTAGACCAATTTATCAATAGATAAATTTAGGCTATAAGCATGCACTGAACAAATAACTAACACATAACTTCTCAAACATATTCTGAGGAAGATCTCAAAAGGAAAATATTTTCTAAAATAATTTCTCAAAAACTACTGGAGAGATCTCAAAATTTCTTTCTCAAACATCTCTGTAAAACTTTCTGAAAGAGATCTCAAAACAACTTTCTGTAAAACTTTCTGAAAGAGGTCTCAAAACAATTTTCTGTAAAACTTTCTGAAAGAGATCTCATTAAGCTTTCAGTACTACTCTTTGTGGCTAATTTTACTCTGTGGGCCCGTGATATGTACTCAAAGGCGCCAATCCGACAGCTCAGGGGAGCGACCCACTAAACATATCAGACTCTCTGAAACTGATAACTCTGTAACTCTGTAACTCTGTGGGAACTTGTTCCCGCGTACATATCACTTAATCTTTCACTTTAAATATTAGTTCTTTTCTTTTTCATAGTGACGTTTGGATAAAACACCATTAACATCTTGAAATAAAAGTATTGACAAATCTTGACTATGTCAGATAATAAACATAACTTAATTCAGCAAATAAAATAACTCATCAGATAATTCACCAAATTCACATAATAGCAAATAGTCTAAAATCATCTATTAAAATAAACCAAACTTCTTCCTTTCATTGGGTTGAACAAACATGTACAGGTGATAGTGAACTTACCTGTAGAAGCTGAACTCAAATTACTCAATTAAGTGTGGCACCTTGATAACATCTTCCGGTAAGCTCTTCTCTGAAGACTCTTTAAATGAATATAATAATAGTAATAATAATAAAATCAGAATTGTTGACTTTCAATGAATTGCACAACATTAGTTTTATGGAGAGAAGCTATTAGACAAATGGAAATTTTCCAACTGAAGTTCCATGCGTAGCAACCAGTAAGGATGTTTTTACTTGGACTGTAATTTGCTGGTCTGGTCTGGTCTGGTCTGATCTGGTCTGGTCTGGTCTGAACTGGTCTGGTCTGGTCTGGTAAGGTTTGGTTTCTTTGTATTTTTATAACTATCCAAGTCTGGTCTGGTCTGGTCTGAACTGGTCTGGTCTGGTCTGGACTAGTCTGATCTGGTCTGGTCTAGTCTGGGACAAATTACAGTCCAAGTAAAAACATCCTAAAACTCATAAAAATAACAAATAACTAACACTTAAATTTTAATTTCTTGCTTGCTGCTACGGAGAATAGAAGAACATAACCCTAAAACTTGGAAACCTTTACGCAGCAGCTCCTTTTTGAATTTAAAAGGTACAAATCAACTACATCTTTATTATTACCGAGATTTAACCACTAATCAACTCTTAATACTGAAGTTTGTATTACAAAACTAAGGTATTGATGTTGATTCCAAAAGAAAGTTAGAATCCCTAAATCATAAGATTAGGTAATGAAAGAATAGGTTGCCGTAGAAATCTAAACTAATGATTAACTTTGCAAAAACCTCAGCTCTACCCAATTAACTTTTAGTTGAATGACACTAGCAAACTCAGCCTAAACGAAATCGTGCGGCCAACTCAAATAGCTTCATGTACAACATATTTTTTCCCTTCTAAAACACACCCAAATCAATGAGAAAATCCTTGAACTACATTACATTTGAAAGGCAGCCAGAAAAACTTGATTATATGGAAATCGTTTACTGTGTTTCGAAAAACTAAGAAAAATAATTAATACAAGTTAATTAAATAAAATGACTTAAAGAAAAACAAGAAATGAGATGAAGCAGAATAAGCCAAAGCTCGTGCTACGCACGATTTCCTTAAAACGTATTCGTTGCCTCCCGAGGTGCTAGGAGCGTTGCAACGATCGTTTCCCAGGATACGATGACTTCGAACGATAGTTTAGCACTCAAACTAAAGTTCCAACGAACGAGAACAAAATAAAAACAAAGAGGGAAGGTTTGCAGAATGCTGGAGGCGTTTTGTGAGCTAAAGAAACGTGCAGTTCATTTGTGTGAGTGTAGATTGTTGCAAGCCATCTGCAGCCATTTATAGGAAAGATTTGTTGGTGTGTGTCAATGTTGTGAACGTTGGACATCAATGTGAAGCATGGCTGGCATTGATTCGTCCAAAACGTTCATGTGAACGTTGGGCATAAAGGCTCATGGACGTTGGCAATTAATTGTTATAATGTCTGTTGTGGACGTTCAACATGCATGGAGCAAAAATTAAAACAGGAACGTAACGGAAGAACAAAAATTTACGTTATCTTTAGAAGATAGATTTTCAGAAGGCATTCGTGTGTACAGGTCGCCCGCACACGCAAGTCGCGCTTTTTGTTCTCCGGTTTCGGGATTTGATCTGCACCCCCCTGCGCGCGTGAGAGAGCCTTTCCCTTTAGGAATCTTAACTCCTTAGGGGGGGTTTCCCTTTATAAAGGGTTCAAATTCCCTTGTGATTTTCGGTGTGGGAAAAACTCACACTAAAACCCACCTTTTCCTAGTTTTCTCCATTCCAATGGGTAAACTTCGAAAAGCGATTTCTCATTCACCCATTATCCGTTTTGAGCGTACCATATATCAAATTGTAGCCCTAAGCAAGGACAATCCGAAACCACTTTGACCCGACCCAAATAGGAAGTGGACCCCACTCAAAAAATTGCCCCAAAATGACCATTTAATGCAATTTTAACACACTTTTTCCAACAATCCCCCACATGAATGAAAATTGATTTTCGAGACTTAAAAAGACACGAAGATAGGAGGAGGACATGTTGTGTTCACCGGATGATCCCTGCACACGGAGAGGTAGGTTTAATCCTTTGAACCTTCCGCTGTAAAGACATGTTTATTTACTGGCTGTCCAGTAGACTCGATGTCCTTGAACTATACTGCCGTCGTGTAAACATTGACTTGTCTTTACACAGGAACCTTCCAACTTTGTTCCGTTCTCATGGGTGTGCCCGTTTTGGCCATGGGTCACCGTCCTGGTTCTGCAAGAGTTTCTAAAGAAGACTGAGCCTTTACAGTTCTCCTTTGAAGCGGCCCTCTTCTCTCTCACATAGGTGATTCTTTCACGAGTATCCCGCATACTCTTACAATGTTATCGAGTAGACCAACATAGAATCATTAAAGCAAACGTTTTTGCTAACCTCGTGCGGGAGTCACTGTTTTAACGAGGAGTGGGTAGGAGTCCGGGACCCCCACAGTGACCATCCTTCGCTCTATAATTTAGCTGTCCCTTTTGAACCTAGGACCAACTAGGTTGGGTATCCACTATAGAACTTTTCAATTCACGGGCTTTAATCCCATTCCTCGTGACAACTTCTCCAACAATTCTCTATCCAATGCCTTGGTTAGCGGATCTGCTATGTTATCCTTTGACTTCACGTAGTCAATAGTGATAACACCCGTTGTGAGAAGTTGTTTAATGGTGTTATGTCTACGACGGACGTGTCTAGACTTACCATTATAGAGATTGCTCTGTGCCCTTCCAATTGCCGCTTGACAATCACAATGTATGCATATAGAAGGGACAGGCTTCTCCCAGCTTGGAATATCCTCGAGAAAATGGCGTAGCCATTCAGCCTCTTCAGTGCACTTATCCAAGGCTATTAGCTCAGATTCCATCGTGGATCTAGCTATTGACGTTTGTTTCGAGGATTTCCATGACACGGCTGCACCTGCCAAAGTGAAAACAAATCCACTTGTGGACTTTGAGTCCTTAATGTCA